TCCCTGTCCATATATATTTCAATGGCATCGTCTTCCTTTATATTGCTCTGTTAGGGTTTCGTCATTATGGCGAACTGGTTTTGCTCCACTGCTCGTGCTCGATCTCCTTTCAATTTCGTCTGTTTCGCGTGTCATCATCCTTGCGGCTTGTCTTTTGTGGGAGTGCGTCTGTGCGGCAGGCTGAAGAGTCTTCTTTGGCTGCGTCTTGCACGTCTCATCGAGATCGAGTCGAGCGGGGTCCTCTGTTTCGCGGTTTGGCGGCATCTGTTTCTGCGGCATCTGCAGGATCAAGTAGAGCGACGTCCTCTATTTCGCGGTTCGGTGACGTCATGCCTGTTCCGTGGCGTCCTTTTTTTCGCTTCTTCGGGCTGAAGGATCGACACTTATTTTGATGGCGCTTCCTTCTTCCGCTGATCCTGACAAAGCTTCATTCGCCCACGTGGTGGGTAATCATCATTTGGAGTCTACTTTTGTTTTCCCTCAAGTTATAAGGAATGTCGAGATGGTACGGGTGACAGCCCTTTTCCTAAGAAGATAAGTAGGAAGAGTGGGAAAAACAACATTTTTTTTTCTCTGATTCAGAAATTTCAACCCTAAATGAGAAATTCAAGTTCGCTCTTATCAAGAAATTTCAGTGGGGGCACCTACCTATGAAAGTTATTAGAAAGAGATTTTACGATCTCAAACTTGTAGGTAAGTGAAAAGTGAAACTCTTTGATGTGAGACATGTGTTGATTCAGTTAACCCTAGCTGAAAATTACACTTGAATTTTTTCTAAAAAATATTTTAACATTGCAGGCAAGTCAATGAAGTTATTCAAGCGGTCTCCTGATATTGACCCAAATCATGAGTCTCTTACTGTTTCGGTATGAATTAGTTTACCTGGTCTTAAGTTGCATTTCTTTAATTATCAGGTTTTCTACTCTATTGGAGCCATACTTGGGGATCCTATGAAGTTAGATCTGCCCACCTTTAACTTAATCAGACCTTTTGTGGCTAAAATACTTGTAGAAAGGGATATTACCTTACCTGATATTACTGAAGTCTGGCTGGGCACAACTCACAATGGATACTGACAACAAATTGTTGTGGAACATAAATCTTTTTATTATACCCACTGTAAGATGTTTGGGCATACACTTGATAAATCACAAACTTTATCCAAATTTGAAAGCTAAAGCTCAAGTAAACAAGGAGGGGTCTAACCCCATTGCTATGGACTCATCTGCTCAACCTGTGGAGAAAGTTCCCACAAGACAGAATTTGGTGTCTAATTTGCTTGTGGATCCACCCCTCGCCAATACTGTTTCTGTTTCAACGACTCATGTGATGCCAAATGACTCTGCTGGGCAATCTACATCTTCAAAACTTATTGATAACATTACTGAAGGATCATTACCTACAAAGAATAATGTTCATGCTATTACTTAGGTGAGCCTTGCAGCTACTCATTTTCAAAAAACATCTGGAGCAGAGGCAACAACTCATACTTCACATACACTAGAACCTATTGTGCTTATAACAGTTGGTAATCTCTCTACGGTTCGACCATCTCATTCGAACGATCAATCTTTGGATGAGAAATGATAGGTTTACACATCTAAGAGGAAGAGAGGAAGAAGAAGAATGAAGACAAAGACATATTTGAGCTCAGAAATCTAATGGATGATACTTTGGTTACTTCGGGTAATGGTACACGCCTCACCAATTTGTTAATCGGCTCCCTTCCGATAACCAGAGGCAGAGACAAGAGTAAATTAGAGTTTCCATGATTATATGTATCTTTTCTATTTTTGGAATTTTGTGTGCGTTGTACCGTATGTGCGTTGTACCGCGTTGTACCGTATGAGTTGGGTGCCTTCTTTTGGGCCCACTCATACAACATGTTGTATCTTTTCCTTTTAATCTATTAGACCTTGGGTTTTTAAAAAAAAATATTGATTCAATTGATAGGGGAGATTTCGTTAACCTGTAGTAGACCATTGTTTTATTATAATTAGTTTTCATCTTATTGAATGAGATTTAAACTTTTTCATGATAATTTATGGATAATTTAGGTTTTATCTGAGTAATAAAAAGTGATTTCTGGCATGTTAATAAATTTTTAGGACAAATTTTAATAAGGATGACAAATTATAATAATAAAAAAAAATAATTAATTAATTAAAAGAAAATTTTTTAAACAGATTCAAGGCAATTGTCTTTGCGTTTATAATTAGGTGTTGAGCATTCCCATTCCAATTAGATGAAAATTGGGTTAGAAAGCGAGGGAATGAAGAGAGATGTGAGTGTAGAAACTCTAAGTGGAGGAAAGGCAAATCTTAGTCGTATGTGTGCAAGAATCGGAGAAGAGGCAGAAGTCGTAGCTACATGTGTTCTGTACGAAGGAAGACAATGTCATGATCTTTTGTATGAGAAGAGGAAGAAGAAGTAGAAGAGGAGAGGAATCGTGACTTATGTGCTCGTAAGGAGGCCGAACTGATATTTTTCTTAATATTAGGGTTAATTTCTTTATTTTGGAATTTTATGTTTATTTGAGATAATTTAATTATGGCTTATGAAATTAAATCATAATTTTGAAAATATAAAAAAAAACTTAAATTTATAGGTTGGATCAAGGAAAGTTGGTGACATTTGAGGTAAGGGATTGGTGTTTTATTTAAGTTGTTTTAATTCACTAACTAAATGTTATTAATTTATATTAAATTCTATGAATTAATACTTGTGATTATACATTGTTAAGTTATTGAATTTAAAGGATAAGTTAGATCGAGATCAGTGTTTGTGCAG